TTACAGATATTTTTACCAAGTCACTCAAGAGTGAATAATTTATTAAAATGAGAAGTTAGCTTGGAGTCACAAAATTAAGTTTAAGAGGGGGTTTTGAAATATAAACTTGGTTTTATTTGTTTAAATAAAGCCTAAATTCTAGAAGCTTATTTTAGAAGTTATGGTAGATATGAAATTATTGCGTGGTAGGTGTAGTATGTGTGGTAGGTGTGGAATTATTGTGTGGTAGGCGTGGAATTATTTGTAACCATTGGATTGAAATTGTGGTGGCACAATCCTAACCGTTAATTTAGGAGGTTCCACTAGTATAAATAGGGGTGGTATCTTTGAGTTTGTATCAAGCCAAGTTAAGGTGATAAATAAGAGTGAAGCTTATTCCATAAGTTTTTAGCCTTTGTCATATCCAAAAAGCTTCTTCATTCCAACATAATCTCCTCTACCGACACTGTAGTGCAAACATAAGTTGAAAGCTAATTAAACACTTCACTGAGATTTAGGACTTGAATGGAAGATAGTTAAAACACTTGTAGTGATAGAGTTTACCATTAGTTTGATAAACAAAAAGATGTCTTCGAATCACCGAGGAATAGCCTTTGATGTATTAGAAGTAGAACCACTGGCAGCAAAAAGAAGCCAGGATGTAATAAGGAATATATATATATATATATATATATATATATACACCTGTGAAATCGCGAGAGAGAAAACCTTTGAAATCTCGAGGGAGGAACTTCCAAAGTCAGAGAATCGAATTTCATTATCTTACAAGCAAAAGATTTATGAGCTATTTTTATAGGGCTAGTAATAGTACAAATAATAGTCTTAGCATTTTGAGAAAAATAGTTTTCTTTTAAATTCTGAGTGCAAAGTTCAACCATAACTGATGTAAATAGAAAAATTTTAGTTATAAAAAATGATGCATATGATTAATGATAATATTGCTTAACTTTTCAAGCCCGATTCTTTTATGTATTGCATATATTAACAAATGTTTGAGCCTATGTCTGCTTAAGCCCTTTTACCCTTTTTGATAGATTTATAACAAGAAGATAAGTCCCCGGTATGTTTTGCAAGTCTGCATAGAATTTTTATATCATGTGACTAACATATTCTATAATATAAATTATAATACAATGCATATTACATAATTTATGGGTATATAAATAAGTATAAATTATTACTATTATCTTTCAGATTCTATATTATCCATTAGTTCCTCAAATGGAATGAAACTTTGTATGTATATTAGCATCATATTTAGGTTAAGAATGAGTTTGATTTTCAAAAAAGAAAAAAAGTTCTTAGCAACATCAACCATGCAAAATTAATTACTTGTGTAATCTTGATGTAAGAAAAAAATTCCTTACAAAATCTTACAATATTTGGTTAATTGCTATATCTTATAGAATAAATCACGATGAACAACTTGAATTTCATTTTACAGCCTTTACAATCAACATAGTAAATAATATTTTTAGTATGCACATGAAAAACTTGAAAAAATCAACTAGCAAAATTATTCCAAAAATATAGAAATTGAGAGTAAAAGTATTGCTTCTGGGTTTTCTATTGAAACTTTGTCCTTTAAAAGAATTAAATATACCTATAATGTATTCAATAATCAATTCCTCAAAAGCGCATATGGTTTAAAATAGTGATAAATTCCTTCACCTCTGCAAGTTGTAACAGAGCGTTCCAACATGTCAAATGAAACTTAATAATATATTATTTTCATCTTTTTTTTTCTCTTTTTTTATTTTTAAAGGAGTTGTCAGTTTATCTATCGTCGTGTACTTCCTCTTTTCAAATAAATCTCACTTTCAGATCATATGAATGACCAGAAGAAGAGAGAAACCAGAAAAGATAGACATACGACAAATATGACAAAAAAGAGAAAGAACATGGAGAGCCTACTTGCAATTAACCTCGCAAGAATAGGTCAAGCATGTCTGTCATAACAAGATAGGGCGGAAGAACCTTGGACCAGTATCTGCTAAGGAATACCTACGTAGACTACCCAAAACCAGATATTCAAGTGTATGTGTCTGTTATGGGGTCTAGAGTGCTCCCAAGGGGACGCAACCCACTTGGTTAATTACATCTTGGGGCTTACCCAAGAACACTCTTGATTAAAAAGAGTTTTTCTTACATAAGTAGCAACCTTGCATAGGACTATCAAAGGATGGTTAACTCGCGGGGGAATGCTTGGATGCTTTCAAAGCTCCCGTTAAGCTACGAGTTAGAGAGTGAGTCTATCACGGTCACTACGTCGGCAACAGACTCATCGACATACAAAGCCTGCAAAATAACTGAATCATCCTGACAAAGAATCCCGATATGTCAAAGCACATCTAGGTCATAAGAGCGGAGGAAAAATCGTCGTATCTCAAACTGGCGACAACTTATCGACAATCAGGCCATCAAGATAATGTCAACAATGCAAAAAGGAGAGATAGAGCTCAACAAAGGTATTCAAAGAAAGGGAGGAGTAGTTTCTAGAAGGTAGAGGTAGCCGAGTCAGGGTACCGCGGACCTGTCATCCCAAGCCACTAAGACTCTAAGTCTACCTGGTCATGAAGGTAATCAACCCAACACGTCCAGAGATCTCTGATCATTAATCTGTGAATTGTGTTGTCCACGGGGGACCTCGACAACCTGAAGGTTGGAGGAACGAAGATTTGTACTATGACTATTAGGTGGAGCTCCAAGAGTTGGGACTTATACCTGTCGAAATAGCGATGATGCCACTAAAAAAGAGAAGAAAAGAAGGTTCAGCTACAAAGCTGGAAACACTCCCAACAAAAGGACTTACACGCCGTCTGGGTTGGGGAGCCCTCTGATGAGATAGACACACCAGACAACCTCCTATTTAGAGCGATATGCTTGGCCGGTCGAACCCCAAGGGACATGCAAATATGAATACAATTGTTTAGAATGATCCTTAGATATTGTGGAGGCCTTATTATATGAATTGGGTGATATCCACGCTATGCAACTCATTTAAAATCTTGCCTGAAGGCTATGCAGGAAAGTAAAATACAGATTTCTAAAATTCTGAATCTTTTAATCCTAAATTTTAGTTTATCTTGAATCTTTTATTAGGATTTTTATATAGAAGAATTTACAATTTTAAGATCCTAGAGAGCCTCATTTTTAATTTTCGTGATATCCCAGATAAACCAGACACGCAACAAAAAGTAAAAGCACTCTAAATATAAAAGAGGCCAATGTCGCTAGGCCAACTACATATCCCAGGAAAAAAAAAAGGCGACCTGACTCAGCATATACATGACCGGTCCTAGATTTATACACGAGCTACTGCTCCTGATCCCCGCAATGTGGTTCATTGCGTTGTCCGCCTTGAAATCTGTGCCCGTACATTATTTCTATTACAAACTCAGCCTAGGGACTATCAAATACATTTGAAAGAGAAAATAAAGATTTGACTTACATGAAAACAATGTTAGTGGGAAAGTCAACTGACATGCAACGTATAATGAGTCGTGTTTTCTTAATCGAGGGAGTTAAATGACACCTTTAAGCAAAAAAGTTAGAATTCATTATGTGCTCTCACTTAATGATACGTGTGTGGGTGCATATATATAGACACAACTCCCTATAATAGAACATCTTAATATATTTCCATGCACATCAAGCACACGAACACACCAAAAAACACGAAAGTGATGCATTGCTAGCATAAACAAACCAATAGAGAATAATAGCCAGAGGCGTTAAAACAATTGATCGGATTTGCAATGTAGGATGTCGTGCTACAACCCCCTCTTTTGTAGGCTTTGACCTTCCTCTTGCCCAGGATCTAGTCCTCTCATGAGATGTGTAGGACTCTATTTATAGAGTCCATATTGCATAAAATGAGGGATTTCAAACCACTCTTGATCAGACGAGTCTGAAGAGATCCCCTTGATCGAAAGGTGTTTGATAGACATTTGACTGTCTTTAAGATATTAGAATTTAACAATCTTAGGCTCGTTGGTTTTTTTCTCTCCAAGATGCTCGATTTGACTATAAGCATGTCATATTCGACATCCGTTTGACCTTCTAATTATAACGTAGTAATTATTGCGGGTCTTAAGCAAGACTAATACAGAGCCTTAATTATAGTCGACAGTGAAATGCTATGCCGCTCAGAAGAATCCCATGTAGCTGGCTATATATTAATTTTCAATATCGTAACTATTATCATAATAATCATCATTATAAATTATGTTGCACTATTTTCTAAATTTTGTTGAAGTTTCTACATTTTAGTTATCTATGTGAACTGATTTAAATACCCATTATTAATTTGAATCGAATATATGAATTTTGTCTAAACAATTTTTAAATAAAAAAAAATGTTCTCAATAACAATATTAAAATATAAATGTAACTAAAAGGTGAAAATATGGAAATAAAAACTCGAAATAAATTAAATTAAATTAAAAAAAATCCATCCAATTATGTATTTGCATATCTAATATCCCAACACTCACATTTACTAACATATTATTCTAATCATTACAACTCATTGTCAGGCCGCCAACTGAAGTTAGTTATTAGATGCTGCTATTCCAAATGGCTGTGATTTGTTTGTACGGGAGCAAAGAGAGAGCAGAAGCCAGAATTTTGTTTTTGTCGGCGTGATGATTCAGTTGACAGTCTGCTTGATGATGATTTTTAATAGCGTTGGTAGCTCTGACTTATAGTCAAATGGCTACTAGGTAAAAGAGGCGTTTACATACCCACATAATTCTGCTATATTAACACATATCTAGTACATAAACATGCATATTTACATAGAAAAAAAAGCCACTATCATAATCATTTAAAAATTAAAATAATATATTTTTATATATAAGTAAAACAAACTGTGGCACGCAACATGGCCCAGGCATTACAAAGACTTCAAAGCAAAAAACATATATATACAAAACAGCCTTTTGATCTTTCTAAAATGAAGACTTGCACCATAGCAGCTGATTTCAAGGCTTAATGCATGATTAAAATAACCAATTTTATTTGCCAATAAAGGATAACCAAAAACAGAAACTAATGATAAAAAACTAGAGTAACAGGCAACTAAAGCCTGGGAATAAGCTAAATGGCACAGCCTTTTGCTGCAAAGGTATCAGATTTCCAAGTTTCTTCACCATGATCCTAATGCTGGAGTAGATGTAAGGTGTGAGTGCTGTGGAAACATGCAGTGTTGCTGCCATTGAAGGAAGCTTCCAGCTCCAGCACCGGTGTCTACAACTTGCCCATGATCGCCATCAATCTCCATTGATTCACCATCTTCCATGGCCTCTTCTATTGTCCCACTTTCAGAAGTTGAAACTTCAAGCACGGGGTCAGAAAACTGAGAGGGAATCCAGGGAATAACAGCTAAGCTATTAGTAGAAGATGATGATTGCTGTTCCCCAACAACGTCTTCCTCAACCAAGTTCGCACAACCAGACCAGAAAACAGGATCTGCAAATCATTAATCCACATTTATCAAGACTGGATAATTTTTGGTAATTCAATGTTAATTCTTCTTCGAGTTACACGAATGGAAGTATTGTTTAAGCTAATTTAAGGGTATAATAAACCAGGAGAATAAGCTAGGCTTTGAAGCTTTTTAAGTGCTTAATATTACCAATAGTTTTTTTGGAGCCATTCTGATTCCTATGTTAAGGTGTTGTTGAAGAGCAAATCTCATTGGAGCCATCGTCTAATTACCAAACTTGGAAGACGCCAAGCGTTCATAGCATAAATGAATATATTGCTTTACAAAAGGAATGAACTTTAGCATTCTTATTTGTATCTAAATTTTCATTCATAATTGCAATAGTATGGTATCCACCTATTGCCTCGAAAGAAACATATCCACATTATCATTGTGAGGAATATGATTGCAGCTTTACAATAGAGGCACCCAGTACAACATATGAAGCGGAACATTCTAAGTTATAAATTTGAAGAACTTCTCAGAATTTAAAACTGGTTAATGAATGCTAACAATCTTTCTCCTACTGAAGATAGAATACACATATTGAAAGAATGATGATAAAATTCAAAAAAAAAAAAAAATATGATAAGGCTTTATAATAAGATTTTCATATACTTACTCTTAAGTCCACTTATAAGCTCCGTATCCACCTTCAATGAACTACCAAAATGGGAATGGTGCGGCTTAAATAAAACAAGTGCTCTCTCTTCGTTTACTGGCGCCATATCGGGCACTGTATCATCCATGACCCTTTTTAACAGCTCGTGTTCAAGTACTGGGCCTCCAATTGGACACCACTCTTCCATTATTGGATGTAATTCAGCATCCTGAATCACAAAAACAAACAATTTAAATAATCAACTTAAAATTTTCTTGATGAAAGAAGTTCACCAGATGCAAGTAATTTAGATTGGTGCAGAGCTAGCAATTGTAACAAATGTATAAGTTATATTTAATTTTATTCATTTTTTTGTTAGGTAGGACTCGTGAAACAAAGCTCAGGATATTGGAATCCTAGCATAGTTGTTAGTTGCTTCGAAATGCAAGCCCTATTGTTGTCAAGAAATGTAAGAAATGCTCGTGAATTTAAAGATTTACTTAGACCGCCTAATCTGCTCTATTTCACAGCAATTTTAATCCAATTCCATAACTGTTTTCAAACAAAACTGATCAGAATCATAGTTTGAATGAGTTTGATTCAGTTTTTTTATGAACCTACTGATCCCAATATTAAAAATTTTTGTTTTTCTAATTTTAATCAGATGGTTTGAAATAAACAAATTTACATTAAAAATAGAATATAATTATCATCTCCCAAAATTATGATTTATAATCATATGCTAAATATTTAAGTTCATTGTCTTTATTATAAATATTGTATATTGAATATGATAAAAATACCATCCTTGCCTTATTATTAAATCATTTAAATCCTATTAAAATAATTTTGATATTTATTACATCAAGTTGTTGAACCGAAGTTAAACCATTAAATCTTAATCATCTCCTATCCAATCAATGTTGATCCAGTTATTAAAAACTTGAAAAAAGTGTACCTTGTTTCTCTTATATTTTTATATTCATGCACTGACATGGTCACCCATATTGCTTCATATTGTGATTATTGTCATTAACCCTAGTTGACTTCAATGATCTTTGACTCATTTAAAATTTCTATTAAAATTGTCTGTTGAATTTTCTTAAATCAGAACAACAACATCTATTTCAAAAAGCATAACCAACTCTATCCTCTCGGGGTGTTGTAGTTCTCATGAATTTGTCATAAAAAACTGATATGATATGATTGGTTCTTATATTAAGTTACTAAGTGAAGCTGGCCTTCAAATTAATGTTAATGAAAATATTGTACTTTTATAAATAAAATCTATTTTGAGACATTGAGGATAAAATAAATAAATAAAACAAAACCTCTCTCCTAGCCAAAGTTTTATTCTCCTACTACTAATTTCTAGAGCTGATGGCATCCACGAATTGTCATCTATGTGTATTCTCTTCTCTGATTCTCTCCTACCCAACCATTGGAATTGCTGGCATCCTCAAATTGACAATTATCAAGATACACGAAAACATGATCATATCAATGGAATTAATTTATAAACTAACTTCTTTTATTAACTTAATACATTAACTGATCATATGACAATATCATTTCAGAGTGCCTCAATTTTATTTTTCCAATAAACTAAAATTGATTCATAAACGCTTACTTAACGGATAATCCAACAACCTCCATTACTTTAAAATGCGCCCTTTGTTTATTTGAAGAGCAGCGTTAATACATTTCTAGAAGGTAAGAAAATCACTACAAATAAGGGTAACGGCTAGAAAACTTGGACACATTTAAGATTTTTTTTTTTTCGAAATAAAAAAAAGGTTTAAAAATAGGGGGTTTTGAAAATAGAACACAAGAACTGCTTTCTAATCTTCAGAAGAAAAAATTTCTCCTCAATAAAGTAAGAAACAGAGAATGAAGACAATTATAGAAGATGCCACCGATAAAATAAAAACCAAGCTTGTAGATGCGCAAAACAAGATCAGATTAGTTCTGCAGAGGAAACATAATATTACGGGGAAATACCGAGTAAAATTTATAAATCCACTACATCACACAAGCAAGCGATATAAATTAATCAAGTGCACGAGCTAATATAAATTATGATAACATTCAAGATCCGAAAAGTAACAACAATTCAATTTGAACTTCCGCCGATCAAGCTCTCTTTTGTGAAAATTCTCAACTCCATATCTCCTAAAAGCCCTATTTCAACGGGATCAACAATAAAAAGAATAAAATAAAATAAAACTGAACCAATCAGGATATAAAAAATAGTTTATAATGTTAAAACCAACGAAACCCCATAAAAGATGTAAATATCGACAGAAAAAGTAAATAATCAACTCACCAGCCTCCTAATCTTCCTGGCCGGAGCGCAGGGCGGTAAATCAGAGAAATCTTGATATACCCCGTCGAAACCCTTCCTCTTCATCCTTTCCAGCACAAAATTCGCCATCTCGATCAAAACTACCTTGAACCTTGCTTGACTCCCTCACCTTTGTTTTCAATTAGGGTTTACTGAGGGCTGGAAGCAGAACAAAATAAAGGAAGCCAAAGATTTTTACCTGCTTATCAGATTTTTCTCGACCTTTCCAGAACTCCACTTTCCTTGTTTGTTTGAGATTTATATAGGAAAAAGCTTGTACAGAATTCCCGCGGGGCAGTGACAATATTGTCCAGATTACATAAATGCCCCAAATTTTTAAAGCTCTTGTCCCTTCGTAGCTTAAGCTATAGCCCTTTTATGGTAATTCTGGCTGCGAGAAGACGTGGTTACGTGGTGTGCAGATTTGTGGAAAACCCCGCGAGTGGTGGGGGGATGGGGATCCAGCAATTTCTCTCGGATATATAATTTTTCTTATTTTAAATGATAAATAAAAATTAAAGAATATAAGAACCAGGCGTTGCAGTTATAAGTAAAGGTCTGTTTGGAGCAGCTATAATTTATTGAATAATTTGTCTGTTTAAAAATAATCTGTCGATGATTTAAGAACAGAAGCTACTATAAATTTTCATTTTCTTGGAAAAATCAGACTGCAGTCAGAAGACTGCTAGTGGAAATACTGTTTTCAGTGTTTTGAAAACGCATAAGCTGTCAAAACGCAATTTACCCAAACAGACCAGATGCTGCGTTTTCAAAACACCGCCACACTAAATAAACTGTCCGAAACGAGCCCTAAGCCTATTTTGTTCGAATTAACTCACATTCGGCTTTATTTTGGGTTGCACTCTAGGTTATAAATTGTATTTATTCCATCACTTTTGACTTGAGAATAAAATTTTTATTTTAAAATATTCTCATCCCCACATCATAATGAAGAGCAAATGAAAATTAAGGGTATGTTTGGGGCCGGTGCAGCTTATTCAGCTTATCCAGTAAGCAGTTTATCCTGATGATCTGGCTAACGGTTTAGTTTGTGAGTTTCGATAATAGCTAATTCTGGATCAATGATCATTCTGCCCCTATTTTGTATAAATTGTTTAGTTGTTTGGTTTGTGCGTTTGAAAAATAACTTATTTGCAATTTTTTGTAGTTAAATGAACGATATGTCACGGAGAAGTTGTAATTTTTTCAACAAAAATGTAATGTATATATGTTAGATATTTTTTGAACCATTTAACCCCCTTCAGAATCATTCGGCACATACATACCCCAAAAAAAATACAACATAACATTATTTTATATGGAATGTGACAAGTTGTAAAATTAAAGTTCAAATGTTAAGACATGAAAATACAAAAGAGTTGAGTTACATTTATATCTCTCATATATTTCCGATCACATTAAAGAAGCACAGTTACATATACAAAAGTGAAATACACATTCACACACTAATATTGAGTATCATCACTAATATTGAAGTATCATGAGACAAAAAAAAAGAAAAAATAACATGTTAAAATTATAAGGAAAAAAATGATAATATTGACTTTAAAATGTAGAAGCATATCACGACGAATGTTGTAGGGTTCTGACATCCCAATATATTGAGAAAATCTGTCTGACTGGGATATCGTAGAAACGGAAGTACTCGAACCACAAACGGCGGTCTCAAGTTGATACCGTCGAACTCCAAGCAGCGATGTCCAGTTGGGATATCGTAGAAACTAATGTACTGTCGACCCATCTGAATAAATTGCAGTTCTGCGGCCTGTGTGACCCCGCATGCACCCATAGAATTGCCACTAGTAACTATGTGGCTGGCATGACGTGAGTAACAAGGATGGTAGCCCGCAATGACACATCACTTGTCCGGACTTCCTTGAATACTTGGAGCTCATTGTCCTGCAATTATTAGAAAAATAGTAGATCAGTCAATTCCACACAACTTAAATTTTTAGTTTGTTTTTGCATTTAGTACTGCTTACATCGAGGGAAGGGTGGGAGCATATTAGACAAAGTATAAGTATAAATGATAATTAATTGCAGAGTTCGTATGAGTGCAATTATTACCGCTAACTTCTCAGTCCATCATTTCTCTGAAGCATCCACAATATGCTTGACAGGATCCCAACTCAATTCCGTCGATCTTTGTTTAAGTTCCTTCCAAACCTTGCACTCTTTTTTTAGCTGATCTGACTTGTTCTTGAATTTCAATCTATCGTAATCTCGTCCTGTCAATTCGTTAAACTTATTGGAAATATTCAGTCACATTTCTTTATTAAAGTAGGCAGTGGGTCTATTTCCAAGTTCAATATCCTTAATACAGAGATTACAAAAAATGATGGTCACTTCCTAATCCCACATTGCTGATGTAGTCACTTCTTTGTTTTTAGTCATAATGAGACTAATAAAAAATATGAATCAAATAATGCACTCATATTGATAGTAAAATAAAACATCAATAGAAAGAATAACATAGCCTTAGATAACAAAGAAGTCATGTAATGAAATTCTCTCAAATTGAAGTACAAAACTTTTAAAATATAATTAATTTGAAAGAATGTTATATACTTTAGTGAATATCAATTCCTTTGTTATGTAATTTAAATTCATCTATACAACATACAATTATAGCGTTCATATTCATCTATTCAACTACATCCCCCCTTTGAGATTGCACCAACTTTAAGCTAAAGAGAGTTATATTACACGAGGCAAATGAACATGTTAAAGTATTATAACATAGTTTCAAAAGGTTTAACTTCAGTGCGGGTATAATATTTAAAAATTTACTTAATTGTAGTAATCATCCTCATCATGTATGAGTGTAATAACACCAAAAAAATATCCATGTCATCACATTATATGATTTCTAGATGTATAAATGATAACTTTACAGAGAGCAGAATTTTGATCCCTTCAAAGAAGAAGAATCAGCCGAGGAGTTAGCAAGAAAAATAACGGATTTCAACTGATAAATCCTCAAAATAACATCATTAGAGTGTTGTTCTCCACATCTAATATCAATGAACTAACCCTGGAGAAGGGGCTTCGTGCATCATTCCGTTTAGAAAGAGAGGAATATACTTGAAACCTTCCGTCTAGAAAGATTCAGGAAAGAAGGGAAAAAAGAAAGGAAGCCTAGAAATACCCTGGATCCGAGCATCCTAGAAGAGGAAAATATCAAGAAGAAATTTAGATTACTAACTGATCTGAGCGTTTGAGAGGAAAAGGCAAGTAGACACCAAGGTGGAAGCGAACGAAGGGGTCGGATGATTCGCTAGGCCAGAGCTCTACGAGCGAGTGAGTAAGCCGACGAGCACATGAGGAATCGAATTAGTAGGGTTTATTTTGTCTTTCGAGCAAATGAAACGTAGATCGCGGGGTTCTACCCGCGATCCGCGTCTAATACAAATAACGGAATGACGTTTTGAGAAAAGTTTGTAAAACTAAAATTCCAAACAAGCGGTGGCGATTTCAAAATATTCCTACATTTAGCGCCCTAAGTTTTTTGTTTTTGTATTTTGCATTTAAAAAATATTCCTAATGGGAATTTTTGTTCCTGGAAGCGATATGGGACTAAAAATTTGGGTGGCAGAGCGTATCAGGAGTGGAACTGTTAGGCTATTATTTAGCCCCCCGCTCTACTTTTATCTACTTATATATATAATTAGCTTAGAGATTTACATGCATAGTACCAAATTCTATTTATTTACATATCTAACGCCTAAACTTTTTTATTTTATAATTAGACTACCCGAATAAATTTTATAAACGATAAAATTTATCATTTTTAAATACATATAAAATTAATATAAAAGAAATAAATAAATATTATTATTTAATTATTTCAAGTCAAAATAATTGAATACGAATGAATAAATATTTGTTCGTGTTTGACTCGTTTATAGATCGAGCTAAAAAAAATTTCATGATTGGCACTCTTGCTTGATGAACTAATCGAGCACGAGTTACTTAATGAGCCAAAGAAGAATAGTTGGACAACAAGCATTTTTGATAGCCCTACAAAATAGCATAACCATAAAATAATCAATAAAAACAAAATTTCGATCATTTCAATCAAACTTAGTGCTACTTTGATTTGATTATTGGTTAGAAATTCTTCTTACCTAACTGATTTAATTTAATTTTAATTTTGAAAGATATAAATTGATACGACATCAGCTAATTTTATCATTTGACACAAATCTCGAGAACTTTGATACAAATCTCGAGATATTTTTTCTAATAAAAAATATTTTGATTCAAATTAAAAATTATCCATGCTCTAATTTCAACAAGTTTACAGTCCAGTCAAACCCATCCAACCATTAAAACACTTTTAAAGACTTTTGATAGCTAGTTGGAAGTCAAACTAAGTCCAAATTTGGCGTACCTACAATCAAATTGAATATCTCAATGAGAGTAATTGAACAAGCCTAAGATTATTCAATTCTGATGTCATTAAGACTCTCAAATCAGCAAAAAATCTTTTATGATCAAGAGGAATTAATGTGAATTGTTTGATCAGGAAATTATGAGTGTTATTCGACAAAAACCCGAAATGCCCCTCCTTGGAGCCTATTAATTGACCCCCTCTTTGTATTTGGCAAGAGTTGTTATGGACTTATGACTCGTGATAACTCCCGTTCCTTGTAGCCGCCGACCGCCATGGACCAACGTCTGTCAACCATTGTAAACCAGTGTAGGTCGCCCTTTGCTTGGCATCGTCAATGATCCATGTGGTGTAATGACGTACTCCAAACATGGCAAAACAAAGTACTATGTTGATTAACAAAATATCATATTTAGTAACGAAGCATCATGTGGAGTAAAAAAATAGTGTTAAGTAACAGTATAATACAAAAACATTAATTTATTACTCGATCACCATAAGTTTTTTGACACGTAACTATTTGATGTCATCTATGAGAAATGAAGCCTCATTGATAAAAGTCTACACTTTATCAACGACTAAAAAATGTAACATGCAAACTTCACATTCAAACACTCATTTTGGGGTACAATCTTAAGGTGCGAGATTTCAAGCCTCTGCTTCATTTTCTAGGAATACTCATCGCCCTATTGATGAGGACGTCTCTTCCTTGCCCCTCAACGACCACATTAAGAGAATTGAGAAATCATAAAATGAAACTGTTCAACTTTTACAAGAAGCTTGACAACGAACAATATAGCAAGAAGGTGAGGTTCACCCACCCCAAGATCAACCATCAATCAGAGATCTTGATATAGCGAGTGCTTC